ACAGAAGTTTCCCGATGCTTGTGGGTGCTGACTGCACCCGTGCCTGACGCATGCCATGCTTTGCTGGCCATGTAACTTCTCCTCCCACTGACTGTGGTAATCGCCCATCAGCAGTCACCGGTCTCTGCAGTTCCTCTCTAGTAGGGTGATGCAAAATGGCCCTTTGGCCTCGCTGCCGGGCTCCAGAAAGCAGCACTCAGCCTGCTCCCAACTCTCGTCTCGCCGCTCCCCGATCCGTGGCTGGCCAGGCAGCTGAAGCCTGGCTTTTTCTGTAATGGCAATACCCAGAATGCTTTGTATGCAAAAGACAGGACAGGAGTGGAGTGGGATGGAATACAAGGAGACCACCCCCGGATGCTAAAAGGCAGAGTAGGGCTGCTCTCCGGTACCTGAGCACAGAGGGAGAAGGGGAGTGAGAGCTGGAGGGTATCCCTGAATTTACGTTGGAGAGGGAGGCTGGAGAGCTTGTCAGGCTGGAGTCAAAGCAGGGGAGGCTAGAAAGATCAGAGCGGCCTGCAGAGATGGACATGAGCTGAGTAGGCAAAGGCATCCCCAGTTCAACCAACTTAGCTTGCATAACCCACCCCATCTCGTGGCTGTGATGCGATGGCAACTTTCCTGGTGCCCCAGAACATTGCTCTGTCATGACCCCCCAGATCCCAGCCCTGACAGGAAACAAGTGTTTCCAGAAACTTCTTACTGAAGTGTATGTGTTTGGTTTAGTTCTCAAGAGGGGAGGCTGTTTCCCCTGGGAAGAGGCCCCTAAGCTATCTGGAAAAGTGACTGGGCTGTACACATCCACAACTGAAGCCATGGTTACTTGCCATAGGCCCACGTAACTTGTGGCTGCTGGGGTTGTGCGGTGTGATTCAGGACACCGGTTTGAAGTTATAGAAAGAAGTGCTCTGTTGTCTCCTGTCGGCAGACCTTCTCCTTGGCTTCCAAGAGGCCCCCTAGTGGACTGTCTGTGGTAGTAGCTCAAAGCACCACATTTCACGACTCCCCTCCTTCCAAAAAGAGCAAGATGTTTTTGTCATGTTTATCTCTTCAGTTTCTCTGGCTGGTTTCTTGGGGACTGTCTTGCACTTTGGCAAGGATTTTTTGTTGCATCAATGACCTGGCTGGACTCCTTCAGCAACAGATCTGGTGCTATAGCAAGGTCTCCTGAAAGAGCTATGGGAGGAGATGCGTTTGGAAACCAGGTTCTGTGTAACAGTAGGTGAGGCCACCCTTAATAGATCAGGCCCATGTTACGTTGGCAGTCTGTGCTGTCACCAGCAGCGGGGGTGCATGCTTGTGTCTGTGTGCTGTGCATGGAGCAGTGCTGAACAGCATTGAGGGGTGGGTGCATAGACATGGTGAGTGGCGATGGAGGCATGTGGCTAGCCCCCATGGGTGAGCGTTCTGGATAGCTTCACCCAGCCTGTGTGTCTTGTGTATCAAGTTAACAGCTCCTCTCTCAGTGGTGGATGCAGTTCTCTGAAACAACATCTTTTGTCTTCGTTTTATCTTCTTAAACAGTAATAAGTATTTGTTTGGGAAGCGTCTTATCTGGAGCATCTGCTTGGAAAGGTTTGAAAGAGCCCTGTCACGCTTCTCTTCCGACGCTGCTTTGAATTTCTGACTCCCCATCGCCTGGAGAATTCTGCCGAGCTAGAAAGAACATTGGGTCTCTGAAGTAATTTTCTCCTCTCCCATTTGCCAAATAGAGTTTCCCCATATTCTGAACAGAGCTGACGCTAACATGGCTGCCTCCAGCAGCTGCTTCACCTGTGGCATCACTTCCTCTTGCCAGCTTGTTTGTGTTCAGACCAGTTGCGGAATCATCAGTGATGCTGGCTGCACAGCTGTGGGAAGTGTTAATTAGGGGGGTTTCTCTGAGCACTAGGAGGTGCCCCAAATACTGCATTTGTGGGCATGGTCCAAGAACAGGGAAAAGGAGAACATTCTCCGGAGTGGGTTAGGAGCCAGGAGTTCTGTACCTCACTCTGTGGCCCTGGTCTGTACTTTTTGTGGCACTCCCCAAGGAGATAGCAAATACTCTTTCAGAGAGGAGAAAGCCAAGGCGCAGACATACTGCATGGAGTTGGTGCTGCAGTTAGAACCCAATTTTCCTAACTCCTACTTCCATGACTAATCCACCAATCTGCAAGGTCATTGTGCAAGTCTCTTAACTCTTCTGTGCCTTTACGTCCATATCTGTAAAACAGGGATAATAGTTACTGAACTCAGGGGAAGGTGGGGGTTTCAAGGTAGGTTAATGTCTCTTCAGAAGCAAAGTAGTGATGTATTATCTGCCCCTGGCATCTTGGAGGAGTAGAGAGCAGCACTGCATGGGAACAGCAGACATCCTTCCCAGTATCCTAGCCTGCCACAGATATCTGAGGACCCTGGCTTGATGGAAGGAGGTGAGGCTCTGAGAGAAAGATGTCAAAGTTAGTCTCTAAGGTGCCACAAGTCCTCGTTTTCTTTAAGCCAATAATATACATTAAGGAGTCACTGAGCTGCTTTTACATAAGCAAGTAATTGTCTTAAAAGAATGTAAATTCCTGGACAAATAGATTTAACTGGGGTTAACGTTGTAAAAGAGTTTCATTCTGAAAATATGGCAGCAAGACACTCCATGTTTGTCTGTGTCTCATTAGCTCCCTATCAAATGTGCTCAATTTACAAGTGAAAATTGCATGCTTTTTCTGACTGCCAGCACTCCCCTGAGACCTGAGAGTCAAGCTGGGTTCTCTGTCTTGCACATAATTAGTAATAGGGATTCCACAGGCCAGATTCTGCCTTCAGTGACACCTGTGCAGCCCAGACACCAGAGGTGATTTTGTACAAGTATAACCGATTGGAATGTAGTGAACAACTCTCTTGATGCACAGGAGAGAACAGAATCCAGCTCCCTCCTGCTGAGCTGGCTCCACAGAGCTAACACACTGAAAACGTATGTACTGCTGAAGTCAGCAGATTTGACACTTGAAACCCAAGGGGAGCAAACTGTGCAATAAGGAATCACTCCTGTGTAGTCCCCTCTCAGAACAGAGCTTCACTTTGTAAGGGAAGGATCCTTAACAGAATGTTGTAAGACGCAAATTCCTGAAAATCAGGAAATTCAAAAACAAGATTCGACTTTCAAAAACAAATTGACCTGAGGTGCTTCAAACAATCTTAACTGCCCTTGCTGCTTCATAGTGTAGCTAAATGTAACTTTGAATTTTTCTGGCTGTCAGCTATTTCAGGGGTGATTTTCTGTCTGTCTGTCCAAGCACTGAATGGTGGTAAGGATTCCCCCTGGGTTTATTGATACATATTTAGTCCTAACTCCAGTTTCAGTGAGTAACTTGTCTGGAACTCTGCCCTAAGCTGAAGGAGCTCCCTACCCCTAAAGGCAGCACACTGCCATCACCAGCACGTCAGCGGGAGCCAGCGGCTGCAGAGAGGAGAGTGCTGACATTAGCCTTGAGCCGTGTGAGGGCAGAGTTTGCCGGGGGTCCCTGGCTGAGTCTGCTCTGGGAGGCACATGGGTGCAGAGGGTCTGCGATTATCCAGGATCCGGTAGGAATAACGTACCAATGTCCCGAGCTATTCAGAAATAGTGACTGGGGGGATCAAAATGCCCAGGCAAGAGGTGGGGCTTTGGGAAGAAGGTAAAACAATGGCTCTCCAAGAGACCTAATGAACCTCCCCTCTCTGGACTGAGCTGGGGTGGGATCGCCAGCCCCTCCCTTCAAGAGCAGGTGCTCACAGTTCTCTCCTGTGCGTGGGGGAGCCCAGGAAGGGGCAGTGGGGTAACCCTCTGGAAGCCCATGCAGTCTTGTGGGGGAGTGATTCCAGTAACTGCCAGGAACCCAGGAAGTGGAGTGAGCCTGGAGAGTGGCAAGGGGATAAATCGCTGGAAGCCCAGGTAGTGGGGGGGGGGTTACACCCCCACGTGCACCTCTTCCCCAGAACATTGTCACTAAGCCAACCCCAGGCTGGCACAGCAGCCTCCGCATGTCCTCAGTCCCGGAGAGCAATGTGCAAGGCAGCAGGAGAGTGCAGCCTGGGGTGCACAGGGAAGCAAAGGCAGCGTTTTTCAGGTTGGTGAGTCCTTGAGGCCATGTTTGCAAGCGGGGACCTGGAAGGTGCCGGTCACAAGTGGTTTTGCCCACGACAAGCTCCTGACTCCAGCTTCCCCCCTTCAAGCCCCACAGAATTCCGAGTGGTAAAAGACCCAGCAGTCTCCCCCCCACCACCCACCAGGGCTGGATCCCCACGCGAAGGTGGCTGGGGAAGCTGAAAGCAGGACTAAGAAGGGAAGTGGTTTGAGGGAGATGTTTGTCGTGAGTAGAACACAGCCAGCGCTGAGGGAGCAGTGTGGCAGCTGTAGCTGGCAGCCGAGCTGCTGTCCTGCTTGCTTTGGCTGACTTGAGAGACCTCTGGCTTTTCCTAGTAGCACTTGGATATGCTGGTACTCGGGAGACTTGACAGGGCATATTCAGAACATGCCGAGAATATCCCCCTCCATGCTAGGCGGACAGAGCAGAGCTGTTGAGCAGCCTCCCTGCTGAGAGATGGAGTGAATGTAGTCCATGCTGTAGCTGGGCAAGAGGGCCGTACTCTCCCCCAGTGTTGCTGTCAGGACCCTTGCTCTGTTTCTAGGCAGAAAGGCCGTTCTGCAGAACTGTCAGAGCCAGCCTGACGATGCAGAGGGACCCAGTCAGGCACTAACCTCCAGCTCCAGTGAGGAAAGAAGGAGAGGAGAGCAGACGGTGTCTTTATCCAGGCTACTGGAAGGGGCCACGCGGGTAGAGATCTCACCAGCCCTGGAGGTTGTCAGTGCAATGGCAAGGGGTCTTCCCAGCCTCAGGACTGCAGGTGTCCGTGCCCAAGGCTGTCCCTGATTTCCCCTCCCAGGCAGCTGTATGGATATGAAAAGGCAGCATTTCCCAGGGAGAGGCTGGGACAGTTCTTTCTCCTGCTCAACAAACCTTTCTAACAGATGTTGCTGGGTGTGCTGACAGGTACCTGGCAAAGTTGTCCTCAGTGGGGAGTATTTCCGAGGAAGAGACCTGTGAGAAGCTGAAAGGGTTAATCCAGCGCCAAGTGCAGATGTGCAAGAGGAACTTGGAGGTGATGGACTCAGTGCGCCGGGGAGCCCAGCTGGCCATCGAGGAGTGCCAGTACCAATTCCGTAACCGTCGCTGGAACTGCTCCACACTGGACACCCTGCCGGTCTTTGGCAAGGTCGTGACACAAGGTGAGCGAACTGTCCAGAGGCATGTGCTCATCTGGGAAAGGGAGTGAACTTAACTGAGGCATGAGCTTCCAGGTGGGAGATAACGAGCATCGAGCTGGGGCTGTAGCAGTGTTGCAGACCGAGGCAGAGCTTTGGGGAAATGGCTGCATCTTGTAGACCCATGCAGCGTGTGCACACTAGCACTCCAGTGTGGAGTCTGGTTTATTTGGCAGCATCAGAGCTACCATGTGGTGGAGGGCAGGAGATGGCCTGATGCTATCCTTTCGCTTCAGCCATAAATGCCACCTTTCCCTGCCACGCACCTGTTTTATAGAATAGCAGTGTGTTACTCTCCCAAAAGACAGGCACATGAGTGAGAACAGCTTTGTTTTGCTGGGTGTTGGCAGCGAGCAGTTGCGGGTTGGATACGGCAAGTAGCCATCACTGGGGACTACCAAGGCGTGCAGCCATGGGATTCTGGCACAGTCCCTGTTTGCGGCTCTGGGACTGGCTCAGCTGGCTGCGGAGAGCCACGGGAAGCTGGCAAGGATGTAGAGAGAGTGGCAGTAATGCATGTGGTACCTCCTGGTCCTGGGACTCCCATACATGCTGTATCGGAGGGTTCGTTGGGGCTGCTTTTAAGCTTGCCCAGTTCCTTAGCTGCTGTCTGCATTTCCGTGGTGGACCCAATTTCCTTGCTCATGCTGCAGAGCCCTGCTTTGTATGTACCTGGGCACAGTGGCGTAGGCTGGGCATGGGCTCTCGGCCTGAACTCTGTGTTGCAGGGTGTTTTGAGTTGGAACTAGCCCTATAAAGCTACTTGAGTAGCTCTGCAGCTTCATTTGCCTCACCAAGAAGCTTCCCCTTGCAAGGGTTCAGCAGCAGCAGCAGGATGCTTTATTTATTTGGTCTCTTCTCTGGTCAGTGAACAAGCCGTAAGCTAGGGCTGGAGCGTTTTTGTTACTCCTGAGTGAAGCAGACTGTGGGTGAGACCTTGGGATGATGCCCTCTGCTGCCCAAAATCAGTAAAACACTCCTCGCTCTCTTCAGCGTAGCATACTGCTATGCCAGCTCTGGTTCTCCTCCTTCCAGCTACAGTGTTTCCTGTTCTTACAGAGACTCCAGCACCATTCATCTTCACGAAGTGACCTCTGGCGTGGACTGCCCCCGCCTCCTACATGCTAACCGTCTGCGAGCGTTGTGCTAACTTCATGACAACGCTGTGACCAAACAGAGCGAGCCCTGTTCATGTTGTAAAGCAAGGAGGGGGGCAGGATGTAATAGCTGGGGGCAAGTGGGGCAGAGCTCGGTGTCAGGACTCCGATGTATCTGTAGAGCTGAGGAGCACTAGAATAGTGTGGAGGCGCGTCAGTATTGAGATGCATTGGCAGAGCTGCAGGGTGGCCAGGACCATAAGCGCAGACTTTTATTTCCCCTGCAGGTGCTCCACCCCCGTTCCGCCCCCACTCTGCTCCTTCCCCCAAGGTCCCGCTTTCACTCCACCTCTTTCCAATCCTTTCTCCATCCCCTCACCAGGCGCCCTGCCCTTGATCCGCCCCCTCCTCCATGACCCCACCCTCCTCCATGACCCCACCTTCCCTCCACCTCTTCCCGTCCCCTCCCTGAGGCCCCTGCCTGCTCGCTTCTCTCCACCCTCCCCCAAGCCCCTCCCCAAGCTGCCAAACAGTTGTTTGGCAGCACTCCCAATTATCTGTGGCTGATGGGTGTTGAGCACCCATTCATTTTTTTTTCCATGGGTGCTCAAGCCCCAGACACCCACAGGGTCGGCGCCTCTGACCAGGATTAGAACAGCAGGAGGGTACAGGGCAGAGCAGATGCGCTTTGGCAGAGCTCGGGAGGAGTGGTGAGTTTTCTCCATGGCTGGCTGCATGAGGCCTGTTTCCAGAGCCGAGTTGTTCTTTCCTGAAGGCAGCACTAGTTTCTATGGCAGAGGGAGCTGCAGTGACTTCCCCCTTGTTCAGATCTCCCTCTCTCCTGGCAAACTAGTGACCAGAGGCATCTCCACTCTGACCCCCTTTCCTCTGTCTAATTGCTCTGTGGGTTAGATTAGCTCCTGGGTGTCCCGACTCCTGTTCCCTCTTCTCTGAAGCTCTGGGCACTCTCTGCTCTGACATACCAGGACCTGCAGGCCCCAGCCTCCCCCAGTCCAGCCTCAGCTCCTTATTTAACTTTCCTTCCCTCAGCATGGGGGTGAAGATTTGTGCTTGTGAAGGTTCAGGACTGGAAATACCAGAAATACCAGAAACTGAAGTCGTCTCTTTTTAGGCAGCCACAGCACAAACCGACCAACATGATCCTACTATTAACCTCGATTAACTTGGAGGTGATTCAGTCCCACGCTGGCTGGGTCCTCACCAGCCACTGCCGCCCAGGCCAGATTACAGCCTTGGCCACCAGAGTCTGAGCTGCGACCACCAAAGTTGCTCCCCTTTGTCTGACCAGTCAGTTGTGAGCAAGGGCCCGAGAGGTGAAGGGCAGATCTCTGTTCACAATAGTATTCTCCAGCCGCCATTGAAGTGACCCTGGGGCCTTTTGCCCTGAGCTTCCAAGTAGCACAGCCTGGACTTTAAATGCTGATCCCTTCAGTCAGCACATGTTCTGAGACAGAAGGGCCTGTTATGTCCCAGCTGCCTTGGCTTCAGAGCATGGCAGGAGCCAGGGAATTGGGTGTTGCATGATTTAATTGATGACCACTAAACCCACAATCCTCACACACATGCAGAGAGATGCTATCCGTGAGAGAGAGAGAGAGAGACACAGACCTGGGCACACCCCTTATATGCACCTTTGCAAAGCTCCCTCTTCTTTTGCAGCTTTGCTGTAGCTCTGCTTTCACACAGGCCAGTCTTTGCTGGCACAGCCAGCTGGCCAGCCGAAACCTGGCCATGTGTCCTGCATGTTTGCTCTCTCCCCCATAGAGGTTTGAAGTTCTCAAACAACTGCTTCCTCAATGTGAAGTAACCACTCTGGTAACCGTAAAAAGCAGCATGAAAGGGGCTCTGTCTCCAGCTGACGGAGGGATAGGGTTCTGAGAGTGGGGCAGGGTTCTAGAGCAGAGCAATGTGAGAAGGATTTTGTAGGTGGGTTGTGGGGATGGGGTGTGCAGGCTATTCTACTTAGAGCTGTTAAGGCAGAGGGAAGCTTCTTAGGCTCCAGGGGCAGCTCGATGTGGGATTCAGTCTGGAAGGAAATGGTTTGGGTGTGAGGGCTCTAGGTGAGGATGGAGGTTGGATTCTGGTTGAGATGCAGTCAGTGCAGGGGTGGGTGGAGGGTAGGCAGTGGTGGGCCTGATGTTCTAGGCCTGTCTGGGGGCTTGGCTAGACCTTGCAAAGCTAGAGCATCCTCAGGGTTGATCTGACTTGCCCATGGGCTTGCATATGTCATGTTAGCTGGACCATAGCAGTGCTTCAAAAAGCCCTTGGCTGGGATGATTTAGTTGGTGTTGGTCCTGCTTTGAGCAGGGATTTGGACTAGATGACCTCCTGAGATCTCTTCCAACCCTAATCTTCTATGATTCAACTCAGCTCCCAGAACTTCCTTTACAGCATGGGCTGGAAGGGGATTTTACCAGAGCTATTCTGGCAAGGAGCCCCATTATGGCACTTTTTCATTCTATAGGGGAAGAGATCCACTGCCTGATTATTATTTATTTGTACTGTCATAGCAGCTAAGTGTCTCAATCATGGACCAAGACTCCTTGTGCTAGACACTGTATGAAGGCCCCTTTTGCACTGCTCCTTAGTTCAGTGGAGAACTGGGCCCTGGAGGTTCTGTGAGACTGTTTAGGGTGTGAGTCTGCTTGGGGCTGCTCTCGAAGGGCTGTTGGGGACAGGTTGGTGGGGTTGTTCTGTTTGATCTCCTCTGGGAGACTGGGTACAAAGGGCTGGGGAGAGTTTTCACCATTTTAATGGTATTCCCCTTCGCTTTGATTCTCACAGTCAACTTAAGCTGGTTTAATTGTTTGCTTCAACTGCCTGGGCCCCAAACAACAGGTTCCAAATTATTAGTAATAAAAATTAGTTGTAGTATGAAGTTGAATTTATTGGGACTGCATCAGGGTCTCCAGCTATAGGGTTTTCTGTGCAGGGCTTTGGCTGCAGGCATCTGTGAGCAGGAATGATCTGTGCTGGGTTGCTGTGTGAGGGGCTCTGGGGGGGGTTCTCTGCCCTAGACTTGGGGTGAGAGGGGAGAGGTCTGCATACAACGGCTGGGGGCGGGGGGGGCGGGGGACTCAGGATCCATGGCTCTCAGTGCTCGGTTCTGCATGGTGTATGTATTGGGTATGTGCAGAGATTTCTGCCCATAGGTTCAGGGTATAGGCATGCAACATATATGGCCTTGTGTGACAGGGGACCTGTAGGTAGGTTCTAGGTACAAGTATTCTGGATGGGGCATGTGATGATAGGAGGTTCTGAGTGCCAGGCTTTTGGATTGGGAGGAGCTGATTGCCGGGATCTCTGTCTGGTAGGTAGCATGCAGGGCTCCTCTGTGCCACACAACTGCATGTGGCAGGGGAGGGTCTGGATCAGGCAGTGGCGTCAGTCTGACAGAGACATGCATGAGTGTGTGGGCATGGACATCTCTGATTGGAAGGGGAGCTGCCCTCTACTGTGCGTGTGAATTTGCAAACGATTCCCCACTGCAACTTTTGTCATTCCAGGGACACGGGAAGCAGCTTTTGTGTATGCTATCTCCTCCGCGGGGGTGGCCTTCGCAGTGACGCGAGCCTGCAGCAGTGGAGAGCTGGAGAAGTGTGGCTGTGATCGGACTGTGCATGGTGTCAGTCCTCAGGGTAAGTCCTTACAGGAGTACGATATGGGCAAGTAAGAGTAGAGGTGCCAGACGGTCACTAGAGGCCTTCTCTAGGCTAAGCACAGGATTGCACAAGATCCACTGGCCCTTGCCCGCCAGCTAGAGAAGAGAGAGGAAGAATAAGGACAAAGGAACAAAAGGGATCCCTGCCCCAATCACTCCGTGCATGTCCCTTTCGGAGGGGACGGGTGGGCAGGTCACCCATTTGTCTGGCTGTTTGGGCACACAAAGGCTTCTAGGCAGCTTCCACATTTTGAAATGACCTTGGATGGTTTTCTCTTGAGAGGGTCGCCGCCCCATGGCCCAGTGCTCCAGGTGTGCCTGGGTAAAGCACTCCTGCTGCATTGCCTGAGTGTGTGCCTACCACATTGCCAGTTGTTCGCTCTGTCTGGGTACAGCATGGTGCCCCCTGGGAGAATCCCTACATACTGCTGAACACACTCCCAAGCCCTGCAGGTGCCTTTAGTCTGAGTGACTCCTCTGCCCTGCAGGGCAATCACAGTACATATGCTCACTGCTGTGCTAGTGTTCTGTGTGAGTCTACACGGAGTGCTCACCGCACAGCCATCAGAGTCCAGGGACCAGTGGGACTTAGGGGAAGGTACAGCCCAGCAGGCAGCATGGCAGGCCAGCCGCACAGGAGATAAAAATCCGATATTAGCTTCATGCCGCAGGTTACGGCTTCACAGTTCACCTCCGAGAAATATTTTTCCTATGTTTCCAAAGAGCTCCAGCAATTTTGGGGTGTGTGTTGCTTATTTCCTTTCTCTAGAAGGTCCTAGATGGCAGAGTCCTAGTTCTAGAGCTGCTCTTTGCCATAGCAGCTCTGGCACATGAAGTCCTTTCACTAGACACTGGAGGCAGCTGTCCAGTGTGAACTCAAAGAAACAGACCTTTGCAGGGAGAAACAGGAAGTGGCCAGCTCCTCTGTAGCTAGACTGTGGGGATTGGAGAGGGAGAGGACAGGCCAAAGAGCCAACTGATTGTCCTGTCCTCCAGCTCTGCCTCACCCTCATTTCTGCTGCAAATCACTCTTTCCAATCCCTGCTGTGCTTTAGGCTTCCAGTGGTCTGGCTGTTCTGATAACATCGCCTACGGAGTGGCCTTCTCACAGTCGTTCGTTGATGTCCGGGAGAGAAGCAAAGGCGCCTCCTCCAGCAGGGCGCTCATGAATCTCCATAATAATGAGGCTGGAAGGAAGGTAATAGCTCTTCAGAACACCAGGGCAGCTGCCAGACTTGAGCCGGTGGCCAGTGCCCAAGCTCCATTCCCCTTCATCTGATAGTACTAATGGCTCCAGCACTTCATTGCTCACTGTCATGTCTCTTCACCTCAAGCAGGCACCTCCATTCACTGTTGCGCTAGGTCACACTTACATCACACTTCCTGGTCTTACTGCCATACTGCCTGGTGTGTACTAATGGGTCTCGGTGAGCGTGCCTCCTGCAGGCAGCTGATAGCTCTCTTCTTTGTGTGCTCTTTCAGGCTATCCTGAACAACATGCGGGTAGAGTGCAAATGCCATGGTGTGTCAGGCTCGTGCGAGGTGAAGACCTGTTGGAAAGCAATGCCTCCCTTCCGCAAAGTGGGCAACATGTTAAAGGAGAAATTTGATGGGGCCACAGAAGTTGAGCAGAGAAAGATCGGCTCCACCAAAGTCCTGGTGCCAAAAAACTCCCAGTTCAAACCACACACAGATGAGGACCTGGTCTACCTGGACTCCAGCCCTGACTTCTGTGACCATGACCTAAAGAATGGGGTCCTGGGGACCAGCGGCCGGCAGTGCAACAAGACTTCCAAAGCTATCGATGGCTGTGAGCTTATGTGCTGCGGGAGGGGCTTTCACACGGACGAAGTGGAGGTGGTGGAAAGGTGCAGTTGCAAGTTCCACTGGTGCTGCTTTGTCAAGTGTAAACAGTGCCACCGAGTGGCAGAAATGCACACGTGCCGGTGATGCCGGGATGGGCGCTCCCATCAGTCCCCTCTGGAGCTGACCCTTCCTCTCCCCTGCTGGTTGCACCGGGACTGGAGGAGGGGATCCAGACACCTCAAGGAGAGGGTTGTGTAAAGAGACACCGAGTGCAGGAGAAAGATATTTAAAGGTCCAAAAGTGATGGTTGTATTTTCGCTTGCTTTATTTATTGCCGAAGCCAGAACCCTCCTGAACTGCATGTGCTGGAAGGGTCGCACATGCGCTCGATGCTGCTGCTGGGCTGGGGCCAGGCAAGGGACCTTTGTGGTGCTTGTCCCCAAGTACCTGCCTCCGTCAGACGAACTCCCACTGACTGACCAAAGGAGCGTTTCGGTCCGCGTAGATTTTAAACTGAAACGAAACTTAGCGTTAGGCACTTTTATATTGGTCTTTTATATTACAGCTACTTCAGCCTAAAAACAAACCGCAGGCCTGGCCTGAGGCTCCTGGAGTCTTTGTTCTCATATTGGCTTGTTCTGTACCACATGCCAGTAGAAGAGAGAGGACAGAGCCAGCGGAGCATCCCAAGCTGCCCTGGGTGTTGTGCTAGAACCAGGAACTCTGCTGCTGAGCTGCTGGGACCAGCGGATTCTGCAGATCAGAGATCTTTGTGCAGAAGTTAAAATGTGGGGAAGGACAAAACTAGTGGTATGGTTCCTGTTGGTGTTTCTTCCTGTTGTTCTGTGGTAGGGTTCTCCCTTTGGGTCTAAGCCACTGGAAGGGGTGAGGGGTGCTGTCCACCACAGAAGCAGGAGTCTGGAGAACAGAGACCCAACTGCACAGAAACTACTTCATCTACGGTGGAATCTGCTTCACCAACAGCCCCCCTGGTGCCAATATCCAGTCTTGCTGTTCAGCTCCAACCGCCCTGGGAGGCTGACGGCCTGTCATCTCTTCCCATTCCCAGCTGATGCCTGTTGTGGTAGCAGCCTCTTACTTAGAAATAAAAGAAAAAATAATCGTGCTGATGAGTAAGTCCATGAGTGCTTCCCAGGCCCCCCCACCCTCCCCATATCCTTCACCCACAGCAAAGCCCTGAGCCCGACCTCTCCAATACTATTGCAAGCTTCAGTCCAGGCCTTGCATGTTTCCTGCCACCGCTCCCCCACCCAGTCCACTGCAATCGTGGTGCCTCCTGGGCTCCTGACCTCAGATGTAAGAGCTCCTCTGGCTGCCAGGCCAACCCACGGCCTCCACCCCACATGTACCTGGGGCTGCCTAGAGTAATGGTCCCTTTCATCTTACAGCCTTTGCCTCACTATGGGCTCCTGCCCAGCCTGCTAACCACCCTGGGCTCCTCTCTCCACACCCCTTCCCAGCAAAGCTCAGTCCTGAGCCCAGCCACATCCACCCCTCTCCACGCCCTCTGCTTCACACAGGGCTCTGCTCCTCCTCCACAGCCTTGAAAGCACAGAGGGCTCCTAGCACCACCCCCATCCATTACCCCACAGAGTTCAGGCCTGACCCCAGCAGGTCTGGCTCCTCCCCCCAACCTTTGCCACGGGGCCCTGGCCTGACCCCAGTTGGCCTCCCCTCTGCTGTTCCTTCCAGGGCAGTTTCCCCCACACCCCTGAGATCTGCGCCCCCCCCTCCCCCCAGACATCTGATCCTGAAGCCCATGTGTATCTCCTGGGGTCCCTAGGCACTGCAGCAGAGAAACTGCAGCCTGGACTAATTGTCTGCAAAGCGACCTTGATGCCTCCCAGGTTCTGGGTGCTGCAGGAGCAGCCAGGACCCAGCTAGGCTGGAGCAGCTCCAGGGCTGCTGTGCTGCCAGCCTAGCTGGAGGCAGGCTGCTGCTGCTACACTCTCATACCCTCAGTAAACACTGAGGGCCATGCTGGGGAAAGGATATGGCCCAGCTATCCTGGGGCTATTCTCTGGGGGCTGTTTCTATCCCTTTCCAACATCAGAGCAGCATAATGGAGTCTTATAGGGGTCAGAATCTGCCCCAGCCTTTTAACAGGAAGTCACTTGATTTCTTCAGTTTTTCCAATTGCTGCATCTGAATCAGCCCCGGTCCCAGTGTGCAGGGTCCCAGAGACCTGGCCTCCTCCTTCACTTTCCACGTCTCTGCTCCCCGAGGGGCCCATTCTCCCTGGCCTCTCTGATGAGGACTCTGTGGAAAGAGGAATCTGGATGTGGCCAGAACCATATCCATTCTCAGCCTTTGGCTCGTAGGAGGGTGGAGTGAGTTCCAAGGAGGGGGAAACATTGCTGGAGTTATATTGGCCTTTGCCTACTGCTGTTGTCCGGCCCTAAACACAGGCGCTGCAGAGGGGGTGAGGGGCACTGGGCTATCCTTACTGGCAACCATTTGCTTTATAAACATAATGAAATGAACACTCTGAACACACCAGGAGGCTCAGTTTTTCTTAAGGCAGAGACCTAAATGCTGCTCCTCCCCCCAGCCTTCACCTTGCAGCCACGCTGGCTAATGCACTGTTCAGCTACGTGCTCTCTCCTTCCGCCCAAGACTAGGGTAGTACAGAGCCCTTGCTGCTGCTCGACAGTGTGAAGTATTTGGAGAATTAATAAGCTGTGGGGCACTGAGGGGAGGTGGCACATGAAACAATTTCCTTCTGCATATCACTAGGTGAGAGGGAGACAGTGGAAAACGCAGATTAATCCCCAAAATCACGCCTCCAGGTGAGGGAGAAATCTGCTGTTGGTAGAGACCAAAGCAGGACTCTGACACTTGCTAAGAGTTCCTCTCCTGCTAGCTGAATGGAAAACTCTGTGTGCTGATGGTGCCAACCCTCCATCTCAATGGAGTGTGGCCAGACAGACTGCCGTTCCCGATCCAGAAAAGCCCAGACTCTTCTGCTTGCCCTTGATCCAGTCTCTTTAAGACAGAGACAGAGGGTTAAGAGCTGAATCCATGAAAACCTTAGGCCTATATTTTCCCCTCTTCTTCCCCTTAAACAAGAGAAGAGGGGAAAGGTTAGAGGGACACGCAGACACACATGAAATCCCGTCTGTGCTATGGCAGTGATGGGATGGGGGAGCGGCTGTGGTCGTTGGAAGGACTCCAGACACGGTCCGGCTGGAACTTTTCTGACAACTGACTCGGCGCAGCAACAGATGCTCCTCCAGAGGCTGAACTGTGTGCCCAGAATGGGCCCCTGCTCACTCTGCACGCTACACTTCCGCTTTCTGTGCAGTATGGGACAAGAAAGGATCCCGTGGAGTGAAGCCGCGCAGTGGCGCAGAAGATCACTTCTCCCTTCAGCCAACTCCACTGTAACCTCTTGGTATGTCTTGTAATAGCAAATTGCTTCAGTGCTGTGCGGAAGGGCTAAGCAGCAGACTGCAGCTCCACTGCCACCCCCTCTCCAGTAAGTGCAGGCCTCCTAAAGGCAAAGAGGAAACTTCACCTGGTGGACTCAAGCCCCTTCTAACCTGGAATGCACACCTCTTGCACCAGTTCATTCACTCTGATCTAAACAGGAGCAAACCTGCTCTGTCCTGCACTGTGGGAGTGATTTCTGTTCTGCACCACTTTGGTTTACATATGTTATGATATTAAATCACCTTTTGCAGGTATCTGGGTTTTAACTCCCATGTCAAGCTGCTGCCTCAATTCTCTGGGCTCCAGTGTGTTAAGACTGTGAGCTCTCAAGTGCCTTGAAGATTCTTTATACTATTTCCCAGCTAATGCAGTGGGGGCCGCTGACCTCAGGACGTTGGCCAAGTTTTCTGCTCGTTGTCCAGCTAGGCCGAGGGCCAAAGCTGAACAAGTCAATCCAGATCAGTGTGGAGATAATCTCTCTCTGCACAGGGTTTTTTCAAACTGCGATGAAAGCTGATCCCTGGAAATGTCACCCCCGATGTCCCCTGGCTCCGCAGCTCTCTGGCGCTTCTCACAATTGTACGTTTCATCACCAGCACAGCAAAGTTCCCTTTTTCTGATTTTTCTGATTTACTTTGTCTATTAAATTATGATTTTGTGCTAAATTAGCATAGGGTGTTTTCCCCCCTAGTAATGGAGCTGCACTGTGCTATGTAAAACCAGTGCTCTCTGCAAACAGCCCTTCCTGGCTGTTCTGATGTGCTAGGACTCCTGCATTTAGAAAGGGAAGAACTGGTGTGAGTGAGGTCTCAGTGCCTATCTCCTTGAAATGTCTGGGAAGAGGGGCCTTCAGCTGTCACTTGATGAGCATCACCTGGGAGGCCGTGCCTGCGTCTTACCACATTCATATTCTGGAGGTCTGGGAGGATCCTGATTTTCAGGCAGTGGCGGTCTCCTCTTGGTACTCCCATCACAAATGTTCTGTCTGGGTCTCTCATCAGTGCTAACTTGGTTACTGCGATCCAAAGTACATTCATATCCTTCCTGTTGCCAGAGGCACCCCCACACACAAGTACTTTACAAAGGCAGGTGGGTATTATCCCTGCTTTACAGGGGGAGAAACTGAGGCACAGGGAGACAGTGACTTACCCAGAGAGTCACTGCTGCACATGGGAACAGAACCCAGTTATCCTGACTGTTAATCTCCTGTGTTAACCACTAGACAGGCTGCCTGCTCAAGAGGGGCATGTAACTTAAATCTTGGTAACTCTGCACCGTCATGTTGTCAAGAGTGTGGGGATAACCATCAGTTTAAAACAGTCCAACATCCTCAGCCTGCAGACAGGGGTCACAGCTGATGCTTTGCAGATTCTCTGCCCTACTCCCCACCCTTTGTGCTACACAGGCTGGCAAGGGAACCAGAAAAGAAATTCCCTGGGTGTGGAAGAGTCCCCAACTGGGAGGACAGAGACTGTGTATTTAGCTCTGACATCATCTTGGGGTATGGAGGTGGGGTGGAGGTGGCTGGAGTGTGCAGTGCTCTAGCCGTCTCCACCTGATGCAGTCTCTGGCTCCTCTTGTTTGTGCCGGGGCAGAGATCCAGGGGCCAGAGCTAGTTGCTCATTCTTGACTTCTCCTTTTCTCTTCCCCTGGGGTGCCCTGGAGGGCTGTTGGGGAGGGAAGCCATCCTGTGCTAGTGGCTTCCCTACACTCACCAGAGTTGGCCAAGCTCTGATCCGGCTCTCCCTGAAGCTCCTAGGGCCTGGCAGTGAAGCAGGCAAGGGAGCAGCCAGAGCTGTGCTCCTCCCTCCCCTGCGATGCAGATGGTGGTCGGGGGCAGTGCTGAGCAGTTGTAGCAGGGAAGGGGCAGCAGCTGTTCTGTGCACTCCTGGGCTGCAGGGGTGTTGTTTTGGAGGTGGCACCCCCAGTTTCTTCCTACATCAACAGGGCTGATTCCCAAGTGGCTCAGGGCTTTGCTGTCAGTTCAGAATCAAATGCATATAATCTCTTTAGCACGGTTGTCCCATGGGCCATGAGTTGGAACCCCCGGGTTTGAAGTGAGCACTAAGGCCAGAATTTTCAAAAGGGCTCAGTACTTGCAATCGGGTCCAGATTTTTAAAGGCGCATTGAGTGCTGAGGGCTTGAAAATGCCTTCTTTCTGTGGGCCCCTGGCGTCTGACATCTCCCAGGGTAACAATCTTCCCAGCTCCCCCAAATCCTGAGATTTGGCAATTCCTGTGCTCAGGGGGATTTGAGGAGGCATGTTCCCATAAACCAGAGAACCGGCCCAAGGAGTTACTGCTCCCTGCAGACACCAGGCCACTTAACTCCTTCCCCTGCATGAGTATCTTTGGGCCTCTGTTCAGGAGACATTTGGCACGAAATCCTTGGCTATTTACCAAGGCATAGAACCAACCCTGAGGCCGAGCCCTAGGGCAGTCAGAAGCCATCATTACATGGGATCCTAACACATAGAGAACTAGCCCCAGAGCCGTGTTCTTGTTCTACCTCTCTTCATACAAATGCCTGAGCAACAGCACAGATGAATCCTCCAAAAACCATGGCATTTCTTGAGCCTCAGGCATCTGGGAACAACCGGCTCTGTTATCTGCACACACATGCGGAGCAGCCTGTCAGGGCTCAGATTCTGGCTGTTCCCATGCTCAGCATCTCTGATTGACACTGTCAAATACATACATAACCCTGGAAAGGTGTCAACCCATGCTGCCCCAGGTCTCTGTGTGTCATGGAAATGTAGCTAGAAACCACTTCCCGTGTGTGTTCCCCCATGCCCTTGCCATCTGGCGCGGAAGCTGGGTTGCTGTAGGATATTGGATGCTGCTATCCCAAACTGTGTGGTACTCTATTATTTTTGAATTTTAGTGTCCTATTTTTATACTATATAATTGGCTGTAATGTTTCCATCACATAGTTTGACTCACATTTTGGTGGCATTCACTATAAAAATGATTACTTCTTGCATTCTGGCATCTGTGTGTGGTTTGGTTTTTTTAAGCGTGACCATTGTTGCAGAAATAGAACATCTAACAAATGCAGATTCTGCAGGAAATGGCCTGAGTCCCCTCCTCCTTCACATTGTTCCATGCAGCGTTATTTCTCCTCCTGGAGACTGGCTGACTTCTCTCTTCTCCTATAACCCCTCAGTCTGTCCCACTGGACTCTGTCCTTGCCCACTTCCTGCACGCCTTCCCTGATTCTCCTCATTCCTACTTTCTCTTCCTCATCTGCTTCCTTTCTTATATCCTTTCTATCAGCCTTCAAACATGCCACTGCCAACTGCCTGAATTCTTCCCTTGACTCCTATCTAGCTGTGCCACTTATATGGCCCCTATTACCAGAATGCCTGAGCACCTCCCCATCTTTATTTTATTTACCCTCCTAACACGCCCATGAGATAGGTTCTTATCCCCATTGAGACTATGGGCTGGATCTTTAAAGGTAGTGAGGCATCTGAAGATGCTGATAGGCACCTAGAGGGATTTTCAAAAGCACTTAGGCACCAAGGCACTTTAAAATATCTTTAAAAATCTGGCCCTAGGGCCTTGCCCAAGGTCCCCTAGAGAATCAGTGGCAGAATAGGTCTCTTGAGATCTAGGCAACCACCACCACACTCCATCTTCCTCCTCCTTCCTCTTGCTTTGCAGGCCATTGGTCGCCCACTGAGGCTGCTCTTGTCATGGCCAAGCCTCACTCTTCCTGGCCACATCCATTCCACATGACTTCCAAGTGGCTCATCCTCCTTGTGAATGCCATGCACAATTCTCCTCACGGCTGGCCACCATTCTCCTTTTTTGGAGAAACTAAATAAGCTTCTAATAATTAAATAAATGGTATTTTTTATTGTTTTATTGATTAGAAATTTAATTACTACTCAAATCCTGTCTTCAAACAAAATAAAGCAAATCCCCTTAGGTACTTGGAAAGAGCAAGCTCTGATTGTGCCACATAAGCAGCTCCATAACTTGTGCATGTTCCTTGCTCCCTTGTTGTAACCAATTCGATTATAAGTAAGGCTCTATGTGAATCGCAGGATGATTGTCAAATAATTGTGGCTGAGTTACGGACAAGACATGGAAAATCACGGAATTTCCATGGACCTTTATTAAGTGCAGTAATTGGGAAAAGCCAAAGAAGACCAATTTGTTTAAGAAAAATTTGCTGGACCGATATAAACACTCAAGTATTATGTTATGTCTCCTAATTTTTTTGATAATCAGACATTTTGCTGCAATAATATTACAGTCATTGATGTATAGGGCTGACAGCCCAAGCCGCAGCCGCTGTCAGCTCAGATAGATGGGGTTCTACTGTACTAGTGGAGGGAAAAGTGTGTTACAAACCTCAAAATATATGCAAAATTGTGGACTGTGCAAAGTAAGCTAATTAAAATCAAAATTGCAGTAGAAGCCTAATATTGCGGGATCCACAATAGCACATAATTACATAGGGCCTGTGGGGCTCAGACTGTCCTTACTTGCTGCGTATAGTACTGTGTACACCCCAAGGCACGTGATGACTAATGGTAATGAATGCTGTGCTCCAGCATTTTGAGAGAGTAATGACTGAACTCTGCTCCCCTATGTAATTAATGTTCTCCAAATTGGCATTCAGCCACCTGGAATTTAATGGGGCATCTACATACGTATTTATCACTCAGTAGTAGGGGAATCAGGAATTGGATCCAGCAGGCAGTGGGGATCCTAGGAAGGCATATGAAGAAGGGCGGATTCATGCAGACAGTGCAGGCCAGGAGCCTGTTCCAGAGGTACCGTGTTGGTTTTATTGGTTCTGACCTATGTCTTCAGGGCCCTACACAGAAGATGGTTGGTAAAAGCTTGTTCTCTGGCCCTTCCGTGTTATCGGATTTGGCAATAATGGACCAGATTCATCCCTGCTGTAACTCTGCTGAAGTCAATGGACCTACACCAGAGCTGAATCTGACTCAGTGTTACTATTGATTCCTGAAGATCCCACCTTGCACTTTTTTCATCACCAGAGTTTCTCCAGGAGTCCCAACACAGCACGCAGGAGGGCAGCAATTTAAAGGGCATCAGAAATGCCCTCAGCAGGGCTATTGGTTGGAGCAGAGCCTTTGAGAGTAATGAGGTCTCATGACAACAACAGGGAGCTCAGCTTGAGCTCCTCAGAAAGGCCTCTGGAAACGCCCTGCCAAACTCCTGCTTTAAGTGTAGGAAAATAAACCAAGCCCCCTGCGTTAGCGGAGGCTAGATTCTAACCCTGTCGGTCCATGGTGAAGGGAAGAGGTGCACGAGCTGGGAACGTACTCAGAAAATGGCCAGCATTCAGCGCCCTGTGTTAAGATTGGGCATTTGGATAATATTAATAATGCTCTCTGGTGAGCTGGTTCACCAAGCCCACCCCTGTCACAAGAGTAGCTGAGTACCCTACAATCTGTACTGGATTTCTCCTCCCCCCAGGCAGTGCTACTCCTCTCCTTGTACAGAGGGAGAACTAAGGTCCACAGAGGCGAAGGCCGGGCTGCACAGAAAGAGTCAGGCCCCTGAAAAATCCCTGCAATTCACACAGCCTGAGTGTGGCTCCCAGGCTCCCTAGCCCACGAGTGAGGAGAGAGGCGCCGTGGACTGCAATCCACCAGGCAGCCTGGTGGGTAGGGCGCCATTGAAGTTAGCCACTCAGAGAGGCTGATGAGAGGGGTGTGTGCTAAGCCCCACCCCTCTGAGAGGTCTATGCACCTGTCTCTGCTAGTGAGTCGCAGCTGGGAACTCTCCGGTGCTAGGTGCCTGGGCACGTTTTCCTGAGAAGGCAGGGGCACTCCCTCCCAACTTGTAGCCTAGTGGTTAGGGTACTCACCTAGGCTGTGGGAGACCCCTGCCCCTGTTCAAAGTCCCCCTTCACCTGAGGGGGAGACGGGATTTGAACAGGTGTATCCTATGGTTTAGGAATGTGCTCTAACCACTGGGCTCTGGGATTGTCTGCTGTGGGCCCCCCTCAGTCTCTTCTGTTGAAACTGTTACACTGTTTAAATAATGAAAGAGTCATTTGGGCCAGAGAAAGAGCACACGTGGGATAGTAATGCTATAGCCTGGTGGTCAGAGTACTCATCCAGGATAAGGGGACCCAGGGTCCAGCCCCCTGCTCCAATGAGTCTTTAATTATTTATGCAGTGTGCAATCAATAGGAAAGACTGAGGAAGGTTGCCTTCAGAATATTCTATAGCTCAGTGGTTAGGGCAGAGAGGGGAGTTGAACTGGGGTTCACCCACATCCCAGGTGAGTACCGGGCTAAAAATTATGTGGGAGAGTCCCTCCCCTCCTGGCTGTTTTTTGTGAACTCGCCTGAGGGGCCTGAGCTGGTAGGTACTCAGAGGGCATGGCGTGGATCTGGCCCTTCATGTGACTTAGGCAACTGAACACCTATTTTCCCTGGTTCACAAATTGCTCTGGGGCTTAGGCAGGCATCTAGATGCCTAGAGGCAGGCAGCCGTGTGCGTGACCGCAGGCAGAAACATACGTGCTGAGAGAAATTTTACTGCAAAAATGTAGGTGCCAAGTGAGTTTAGGCCTACAAGGCTCAGTGGGAGTTTTGTACATCTCAATAGAGCTTAAAACTGGTACTTAGGCACCTAAGTACTTTTGTGAACCTGAGCTGAAGTGACTTGCCCCTAGTCACACAGGCAGCCCATTGGAGAGAAGGGAACTGCATCAGCTGAGGCAGTGGGCTTTTATTTTATGACACTTATTTAATATATTTTTAAAAACACCCCCAAAAATTGCAATCGTGGGGGTCTCCTTAGTAACCATGTCAGCATGCGGCTGTGTCCACTGGCTGGTCTTCCCCCAAGAGCCACTATCCCATTGTCTTGTTGAAAACTATTGAGGCAGGAGCCCTGTGTGATTAAATTGGACCGCAAGGTGCTGGGCAGACTTTTAGGTTCTGTAGAATAATAAGTAGAAGAAGATGATGAAAAAAGGGAAAAACTTCAGCACCAGAAAAGCAATGAGAGGCCTGAATCCTTCTCCCCCGCTGTGGGGAGCAGTGGGGTGACGTGCTCACTGTGTGCTCACACCAAACTCTCCACTTCCAGCACCATGCAAAACTGCTGACTTTCCCCATCCTCTCTGTGACATTTCCCAGGTCACAATCTGGCCTATTGAACAGCTGGGTCTCCTAGTTCTCCAACGTGGGGGGCCTTTTACACTGCTTCGCTGTGAGAGCAACCACTCCAGGTCTGCTCCCGCACAGCCGCCACCATGTAAATTACCCCCAGCTGTACTGCAAGAGTGATTCAGCCAGCCAGCCAGCCAGCCAGCCTGCCACCCTTGAATTACACTGCAGGGTGACACCAGCAAATTCCCAGTCCCAGACTTTCCCCCAGAAATGTGCATCTTGTACTGCCCAGCCCCTCCTGGACAACACAAGCTCATGTAAAGTCCATCGTGTCATTAATAGAAAATGATGGGCACACATCTTGTTGTCTCAAATGAAGTTTCCCAAACTCTTCAGTCCAAACATGCACTGGTTTAGATAAAACAATAAAACATGTTTATTAACTACAAAAAGATAGATTTTAAGTGATTACAAGTAATGGGACATAAAAGTCAGAATTGGTTACAAAGAAATAAAAGATAAAATACAAACTAATACCTAACGTACTGAGTCTAACTGAATACTAACCCTAACTGAGTCTTACTGAATACTAACCCTTACTGAGTCTCTCTCTCTCTCATTCACACACACCACATGTTCTTTTGCAGTTGTACTGGCTGGCTGGGTGCCTTTCTGCCAGGACTCCATCCCCTCAGTGATGCTTTCTTTGTCTTTCAAACATTGTTGATGCCATGAGTAGAGATGAGGGGCGAGAGGTGATTTGGGGCCTCTGGTCCTTATTTTTATATCTTTTTCTCCTCTTTGAGAATTATCTCCAGCTAGGATTCAGGCAACAGCCAGTCTGTTTACTTGGGAACCTCCAGCTGTTCCATTGCCA